GGTTTTCTTGGCTCCACCTTCCTTTATGTTTTGGTTTATCCTCAAGATGGTGCTAAAATGGTTGCCATGATAGAGTATCTGGAGGTGTCACCTCCAGATAGGGCCAAGAATTAAGAGATGAACATCTCCTGCTGAGTCTACAATTAAGAATAAGGAAATCTTTTCAAAAATATCACAAAGGATTTCTTACATTTCATTGACCAAAACTGGTCACATGCCCATCCTTAAACCAATTATGCTCAAAGGGAGAAGGCTGTCCTTGGTTGGTTCAGACTAGAGTTCACATCCACTAGTGTAGACAGATTAGGATTTACCTGCTGGAGCGGGTGACCTAGCTGTGGTGCGCTTCCCTCAAACACAAGATTCTGCAAAAGATCTCTGTTATCACTGAGTGCATTTGTGTAACAAAGTACCACAGACTGGTGATTTAAAGAACAGAAATTTATTCTACCACAGTTTTGGAGGCCAGAAACCCAAAATCAAGGTTTTGGTAGGGCCATGGTCCCTCTGAAGACTCTAGGGGAGAATCCTTCCTGGCCTCTTCCAGCTTCCCTTGGCTGTGGAAGCATACCTCCAATCTCTGTCTTCACAAGACTGATTCGCTCCATGTCTGTGTCCAAATTTCTCCTTTTTGTATGACATCACTACTATTGGATTGAGGGCTGCACGACTCCAGTAACACGTCCTTCTAACTCATTCCCTCTGCAAAAACCCTGTTTCCAAATGAGGTCATATTTGGAGATACTAGGGGTTAGGACTTCAATATATGAATTCTAAGGGGACACGAATAAACACTTAACACTGAGAGAGGAGGGGAACTGAAATGGGGCTGGCAACAAATAGTAGCTGCTCTAGTAGCCTTCTCATCTTACAGATCCCTTCTTAACCCCAAAGACTCTTTAGCTGGGAGACTCTCAGGCTCACTGAAGAAGAGAAATGCAAACCTTTAGCTGCCCTACCTGGAAGGAGCCACCATCCAGCATCGGCATGACAGCCACTTGGGGTCTCCCACCAGCTCACAGGTCCCCCTATGTTTTTCCACACTTCCTTTCCCATGCGTGTCCCCATCCTCTACTTCTGAACATGGACAATGCCATGAAAGCTGCAGATACTTTTGAAAACTGGACTTCAGACTATGAGCACGTGCCTACGTGTAAGATATGGTCGGGGGGTTGCTGGTGGGCTCCACAGTTATG